CAAATTTGACAAATTCTTTTCTTTTCTGTTTCCCGTAAGCGACCACCCGGTATGATCTCGTATGGTTGTAAGAAAACCATTGCTCGAAGGTCACAGCATTTCAGTTTTTAATAGCGTTGACCAAGCGTGCTGACAGACTATAGCAGTTGACTTCCAAAAACAATGTCTGTAATACGATCTGTAGGTAAAATGGGGGATTGTAACATTGATACAAAATGTTATGCACAAACCTTCAACAGTTTCAAGACTCTATTTGAGGTGAAACATTATTGCCAGTTGTCTATTTGTCCACGTTTTAGCTTGAAAGATAATAACTTCACGTAATTACATGTACCTTAGTCAGTCCAGTTTGTGTTATTATTGTGTTATTATTATTATTATTATTATTATTGTTGTTGTTGTTGTTGTTGTTGTTATTATTACTTAGCCTCGCCTGGAAACAAAGGCTTGTGCCAACTCAGAGACGGCTCGTTCGAAAATGAGGAGAAAATGGAGATCCCTACAGTTGTAGGGATACTTGGAGCTTTGAGATATTCTCTGTGAGACGACAAGAAATAAACTTAGAGAAAGTTTCCTTTCGGAGAAGCAACCAACCGAATTGTCACTGACATTTTTTTTTCTTTTTAGGACAATGTGATGATCGACATTTATGCCTTATTAGCTCTAGCCGTTGGATTCCGAATAATATCATTTCTGTTTCTGCTAAGGAAAGCTTACAGAAGACCTTAGACATGAAATGTCTTGAAACGTTGTTGAATTATCCTTTTTTTCTATTTTTTTTTCATATTTTTGTTATTTTGATGTTTAATAGATAAATTTGATTAAGTAAGTTAATAAATTTGTCATTCGATTTAATTTGATAAATTAATAAATGGATTTCTTGCCCTTAATTATACAGCATTAAAAGCTTTTATCAATAAGGAATTCGAAACTGATGAGAGAATTTACAAAAACGATAATTTCCACGTGTTATTCATACAACAACAACAACAAAACTTTAATAATAAACAAATAAAATTACAAATGTATTGCCCGCAGCTAGCAAGGATTCGAGGCGGGACAACGCTTGCCAAATATAAAAAATAAAGACTAAGGCTATTAACTAATGAAAGTTTACAGTTTACAAATAAATAAAATAGAAATCGTAATATGGATGAGGACTAGATAACAGACTAAAGGAAAAAGAATTTAAAAAATAAATTGAAAAAGTAGAAACTAATAAGCAAGAATTTCTTTTTTTTTAATTTTTGGCTAATTTTACCTTTTTCATTAAGGTGGGCGTATCAATATAAGTCATCTTCTGAATTCAGAAAATCAAAAAGTAATTTGCGGAGTGTTTTTTTTGAACTTATTCATAAATGCATCATAACAATATTGTGTTAAGCAATTCTTTCAGATATTTCAAAGGACTCAAAGTGGTGTCATCTTTTAGACTTCAGGCTTTTTTCAAGTTAATTTGTATTTTTACATTGACCTTTTTTTTCGCTAAAGACTTTCAGACACAATTTTTTAAAACTGAAAAAAAAAAATACTTTGGAGTTGACATCTTGCCCAGAAACTAAAATTAGGTTAAAGTACGGGAAACATTTTTTCTTAAGGGTTTCCGTGTAGTTTAAAAAACACGTGTAATTTTTTTTTCATTTTCAGTTGTTTTAGAGGTATAGCAGTTCGTGTAATATAAATAGATTGATGCTAAAGACGGAGCTCCCTTTGACATGCTTATAATTTACTTCAAATAATAAACTTGAAACCATTTCATGAAACTATTAAATCTATTCTTAATTTTGGAGGCGTGTCATTTAACGTTTGAGGCAGAGGCTGAGAGATCTGGGGGAAAATATCTGCAAACAGCTGGTCTGCAATGAAGGCCCTATGACCTGGTCAATGCAGAAAATTATTGCATTCAACTTGGACAGTATCAGAGGTGGAAGGGAGCACGATAAAATTTTCTATATATTTATTTACAAAATATTCCTGCTTTTCGAGCACCATTTTAGCTCAGAAGCCAATGAATTTCGTTCGTGTAGTTGTTTGATACCCCCAGAGTCACAAATGCAACCGGACAACTAGCGAGGGTATTATCCGGACCTAGTAGTGACCTTCTGTAGAACGTCTCCCCACCTCAAGAATCTTATAGAGACCTCGGGTACTTATGTGTGGGTATCTCTCCTTATCACAGTCCTCATCACCGTACTGTATGTAGATACTGATCACGGTGGTTCGAGTTATCGTGAGTAGTATAGTCTGGAGATTTTAATCGGCTTTTATTATATACTTTAGATACTGAAAAAAATCATATCTTCATCGCGCGCAGTGAAGATACTATTTTTATCTTTGACGTGTGAGGATATTGGTGTCCCCATGGTTACTAACATGATTAGCCAATCATTGTCTTTATTTCTCCTTTATATTTTTATATCCGAGTTTCATAACATTTTTGTGAGAGGCATTTTGCGATAGGTGACTACTTTAATTGCACTATTTTGCTGTTTCGAAAATGAATTTAAAAAAAGTTGTGTTTTATGTAGGAATTTCATCAGTAACTATAAAATAAACAGAACATTACATGCCCGCTTGGGGAAACGAATTTTATCTTCTCGTGCTGAAAGTATCTCTCACAGGTATCTCTCATAAAATTCGTTTCCCCGCGCGGCCATGTACTATCATCTATTTCTTGAGTGGAATCTCATAACTGTGAAGTGGAATACACTAATGATGTAATAGTCTTTTTGTCTGAATGAATAAAATGCGGCGGAATCATAAAAGTCACGTGCTATTTTAGGGTGTCTTATACGGTTTGGCAGGTTTTATAGTTATTTTCATATCCATGTCATAGTTTATTAAAACTGTTTCATGACCTTATTTGGTCATTATGTCGCCACCTATGAACTGTAACAAAATTATGCCAGTTTCATTTCCTGTCGCTCTTATTGTCCGTTGCTGATATTGTTCCAGTTCCGGCACTAAACGTGATTTTGTACCTTTCCCCTCTCCTCTCCGTACCCTCCACGATGCAGTTATTTTTTATTATGTTCACTTTATGTTTTCCCTCCACTATGACATCAAAATTCTATTGTTGTCCTACCACCACAAACACAATTCTATTATTTTCCCTACTCACCCTCCTCAACCAAACCCGTTACTTGGAGACCCGGTTATTATAAGGGGGCCGTTTCTGGAAAGTCCCGATAATTAACGGGCCCGGTAAGCTGTCCCCGTTTACATTAAAGATCGAGGTTTCAATAGTTTTGCATCTAACATGATAAAACTATCAGTTAATGAAGCAAAATGGAGTAGTTTGCTAGCCAGGACCCGCACTCTTATTCTTTATATTTCGATTTGAATATTTGATTTCGGGCCCGAAAAGTTACCGGGACTTTCGAGAAACTGGCCCCTGGGACTTAGATACTTTTTCTACTATTATCCGGGACACTGATTCCCATCCGACAACGGAATCACCAAAGCTGATACCATTATCGCACCTACCGACCCATAATTCAACTTTAACCTCCCCTTCTGAAATGTTCTCATAATAACCCAATAAGTACTGTTGATCTATGAGGTTAGAAGCATAAAACCGCCATTTGTCGTACTGCACAGCCTCAATCGTCATTCGTCCACAATATCTGGTGTCATTGAACTTGAAATACAAGCGGCTACACGTTCTATTACCATCAATCCTTGTAGATCACTGGATTGAAACTTTGAGCGCTGAAGAAGATATCAAGTTAAAAAACGAAAACGTCTTAAAGAAATAAACTGCAATGTCCTTAAGTAAGGACTAGGCCAAACGTGGAGCCCATTTTTATTGAGGGAAAAATTGTAAACAAAGGTTCGCCTACAATCTTGCAGTTTACCGAAGCAGGAACAGAAGATTAATTCAATACTTCCGTAACAAGGATCAAGTACAGGGATTAAATATTTAAAACAAACACAGAAAAACGAGACAAGTTCGGGCTTGTTTAGTTGAATGAAAACGCCTAAAATTTGTAACGAACTTGGAGGAAAGGAAAAGGGAAAAACAAACACAAAGTAACAGAAAGCAAAACTGTTTAAAAATGTTGTTTTTTGTGGAAAATTGTTGTCCTTTTATCATAATGATGTCATCATTAACTTTTGACCCTGTTTCAGTACCCCGGACCGGAAGAGAGAACGTGAACAGCGGTTATGAATTTGCAAGATAACTTCCCCTAAAGGAAAAAGAAAAAATGCAAGAACAAACAATCTCAAACAGGAAGAAAAGATTATCTTAAAAATAAAAAACAGGAACAAGAGATTAAAACAATTCTTAACAATGATCACGTACGAGGATTAAAGTTTTAAAATAAGCACAGAGAAACGAGACAAGTTCGGGCTTGTTTATTTGAGTGAAAACGCCTAAAATTTTGACGAGCAAGGAGGAAAGGAAAACGAAAAAACAAACAAAAAGCAACAGAAAGCGAAATTGTAAAAATGTTCAGGTTTTTTGAAAAATTTTGGTTCTTTTATTATGATGATGTCATCATTAACGTTTGACCCTGT